GCATGAAAAGTTCGAGGTGGCACATGGATCGCCACTCCATGGCACACACACCAGCTGACACCATCCACTGCGGCAAATCTGAGCTTGACAGGCAGGTTCATGATGACAGCTTGCATCGATTTGCCGACTTGTTCTCATATGTAGAACGTCACCTTCCCCGCCTACTAGTCGGGCGTCGGATCCTGCTTAGTCTCGTCCCTTTCCTGAATGCATACCGCCATAGGTGACTCGACCAGCAGACGGAGCTCCCAACGGCATTGCATTCAGGTTCCTCGTGACGCGCAAGCTTCTCCACTACGTCAAACTATATATACATTATTAACATTATGTGTTTTAGAAACTTTTTGTTTTAGCTTGCTTAACACTTTTAAGTATATACAACGTTAGGTAAACAAAAACACTAGAAAGGTTAATTACGAAATAGTCACGGTAGAGTAATGGATAGCGGCTCGGATTGAGGAATCGGAGAGCCGCGTTCGAATTCCACTCGAATCTATTATATTCACTTACGTGAGAAAGGTATGAATCCTCTTCTTCTAAAGCTATGGGTAACATTGGTAAGAGACGAACAGTGGTAACATTGCCAAGACGAACATGCCTGCGGTCCAACAGCAGGCCACCATCGGTAAACGCTAGTGGCATGCCACTCTAACATTGGTGGTTTGCGTGTAGGGATGACAACAATAATCAGTGCATGGGATGAATGGTAGATTTATAAATATGCAAGATGAATTTTGTCGAGAAAAAAAAATCGCCCGAGACAGTGAACCACTTTTCCTAGTATCGGGCGTTGCAATTGATTCATTGTAGTCGCTTCACTTTATGTCATGGGAAAACGTTTGCCCAAAAAGGCGTGCCGTGTTGCCATCCCGGAGTTTAACATCAAGCAGAAAAGGCTCTCTGTAGTGATCAAATGAAAGCAGTTTTGTTTTAAAGGCGTTAAGATAGCTGAAAAAGGCCAGGGAACACAACGGCTGAAACAATGTGATAACAGTAGCAAAGCTCAAAACAGTGACAGCTCGGTTCACGAATTTAATTCGTTCCTCAAGGCGCTCGTAAACCAAAATGTTCGTAAACCGAAACTATTTTTCCAATAGGAATCAATGTAGAGAAGAAAGTCCCCCTCCCAAAAAGTACGCCATAACACACGAAAGGACACAACACGGGGTCGACTCAGAAATTATTCCGTTCCGGTTAACTCGGTTCGGCAACGTTGTTCGAGAAACGAAATTTTGTGCCATAACCGAGGCATTTTCATTTCGAATTTTCTATTCGAAAATCGATTTGTTCAACATGTGAGACGTTCAAGAACCGAGATTGCACTGTATATTAGTCAGACTGTAAGGAATTTTATTGATGAGGAATTTTAATCAAACTGCAACTCTCGTAAAGTGAACCTGTTTGACGTAAACGGAATGGAAGAAATAAGAAAGTCGTATTAAAAGTTGAACGGAAATAAAAGCAATAAGTTTTCTGTACTGTAATTAGTGTCTTTCTCGTTCCGTTGTTCTTTTCTAGGGATGTTTCGTCTTGTTCTTCATATCAGCTTATATATGAGGGACAGCGTATGTGTGAACTGTCTAAGTACGTAATTATTACGATGCCTAAACACATGTATCGATTTGCTTGTAATGTTCCTCTAAATTGAATGCAACATTTTCACTGTAATCCTTTCTGTTATCGATTCCTTAGGAACGAGCTCTGGTTTCACGACATTGGTCTTGTTATGACCAATTTTCAAGCCATGTTAGAAACATTCGTAAGTATGCAGCCTTTCCCTGACAGCGTTAGAGTGACAATACAAAGAAGCCTCCCCGCCACTATATTGATTATTATGGATCATTCGATTGCAGACAGAAACAGCCGAGAGATGAGTTTGCTTTTTTCGTCTTGGTAAAAAGACGTCATTTTCCTTGGTCAATGGCAGAGCATTAACGGGAAGGCTTTGGGCATTTCGACGTGGTGTAATGGTTAGCAAGCATGTCTTGCTAGATCATTTACGACTGAATAGTGACTTGTGTCCTCACCGGTGCTCCATAATTTCGTCCTTGTGACACATCTAAGCTACGCTAAGAAGATCGCCAGAAGCCGAAAGTGTGGCGGGGATGGTTTTTCATTTTTTTTTTTTTTATTATTTCTGGTCTAAATTTAGCTATTTACTAGTTCTATAAAGAGCGGTCCCTCGGATTCAAAGATGACTTTCGTCATGCATTCATCTGAGATGGCCCCACAAGCCGACTCCAGCGGTGCAGAATCTGTCATAGGGTGCGTAGGGAAAATCGTTTGTTTTAATAGTTACCTGTATTGTTTTATGGTGTCGCTGATATCAGACCTATTGAAAATTTGCAAATACTTCATTGACTATGACTTGCCAGGATTCCATTAAGCAGGATGCCACAATATAAAAAAATATATTAAAACGTGTGGTCGAAATCAGATAAGTTCCAAGGATTCTACATATTTTATCTCATAAAATAGATACTTCCGTTTATAGATACCCTGGTGCAAACAATTTTTCATTTTGGTTTTAAAGGCACAATATTTTGATTTTCGTTTGTACTTATTTTTCGGAATGGGACCTGCAGTGCTTCGTGACTGTCTTATCAGTATTTGCTTTTTTCTACCAATATTTATATACGTCACAAATTAAACTAAGCACAAGTAATTATTAAAGGATAAAACATTTTCACGGATTTTGACGTCATTTTTGGGGTCCGTTTTTTATCCTCTAAATCCGTGAATTTGTTTGCTCATGCAAATTCTTGAAAAAATCACTTAGGAACCGCTCTTTATAAAACTATTAAATAGCTAAATTTAGACCAGAAATAAAAAAAAAAAAAAAAGAAAAACCATCTCCCCCATTTCGGTTTGTGGTGATCTTCTTAACGTAGCTTAGATGTGGCACAAGGACGAAATTATGGAGCACCGGTGAGGACACAAGTCACTATTCAGTTTAAAATTTACTATTTTTTGTCCATAATATTGAATGTGTTAAAATTACTCAACTTTTTAACAAGAAGAATCTCGGGGTGTTGTTTAAAATTGGCTTTTTTTCTAATTTATTTAAGATGAAATCATCTATAATGACATGTTTCTAATTTGTATTTAGATACATTGTATTTATTTTTAATTTTTCTAGTTGAATTATTCACGTATATTTAATATAATCCATTATTGTACATAATTAGGTTAGAATAAAATTTGTATTTTATATGAATACTAGCTTATGAAAAATGCCATGTAATAGAGTGCCCCACCCCGTATCATAGATTGAGGTGTGTGTGTGTGTGTCTGGGGGTGAGGCACGAAACTCTTGCACCGACCCTGAAAATATGCATTTTATTATTTATTTATTTTTTACTGTTAGTGATATCTATCCTCACTGGGTACGTTATGCTTGTAGCTTTGTGCCAAATTAAGCAGGGAAAATTGACGTTGATACATTCAGTGAAAGAACCATCAGTTCGGAAACTTTTTAGTGCTCTGCTCGACCACAAAGCAACGTCCTAAATTGCCCTACCCACCGGCACCTTCATTAGCCACTATACCTTGTAGACACTCCTCCTCGCCACCAGCACATTTAGCCCTTGATCTCCCGCCCCCATTCCTACCTTTCAGAACAGATGTTTGCCTATAATAAAATTACATTCAAGTGCATTTGAAGTACAATTTCTTAACGCTTCTCCATCACCCCTTAGCCCCTTTGTTAATTTCAGAGAGCAATCTTCTCTTTTCGCGCATTCACTCCTTTTTTCGTGGACGATTGTCTTATGTGCCGTGTCCCTTCAGGTTATCATGGCTCTCCACAATTTCCTGTCTTTGTAGCTCTTAGTAAATTTGTCTTTTTATTATCTCTACTAATTCTTGTTCTCCCAAACATTTGCACAGGCCCCTTCTTCTTCTTCTTCTTCTTCTTCTTCTTCTTCTTCTTCTTCTATGTGTTGTGAACATTTAGAACGTTAGCGATCATGGCTCTCCACAATTTCTTGACCTTTTTTGGCTCTTAGTAATTTTGTCTTTTTTTTATCTCTCCTAATCCATGTCATTCTCACCATTTACACAAGTTCGTTGTTGTTGTTGTTGTTCTTCTTCTTCTTCTTCTTCTTCTGTGTGCCGTTGTCTCGTCGGGATGTTGACGACCATGGCTCTCCACTAGTAAAACTTGTTCTGACATCCATTTACTCAAGTTCGCTAGGTAGATTATGCCTTGTTTTCCTATCTCCCTCATGCCTTTAAACTTTCCCGTAAGTATCAAATTTTTATTATTATTATTGTTGTTTAAACATTGTACAATTATACACGCTTGTCAGAGATAAAATTGCTTGTTGGCTGTTTATATTTTTTACATTTGATATTGTATCTTGTTTTACACATATTTTAACATGTCCGTGTTTCTTCTTCTATGTGCTGTGTCGCTTAGCGATCTTGGCTCTTCACAACTTTCTATCCTTTGTAGCTCTTAATATATTTTGTCATTTTACTATATCTCCCAAACCCTGCTCTGCCATTCTTTCCCTCATACGTTGCTTTCTTTTGTCCCTCTTGCCTATAATGTGAGTATCAAATTTTCCAAGCTTCTTTCCTCCTTATATGCCCTGAAAATTTCAGCTGTATATTTCTTTTGTTAAGTATAAGGGTTAATTTTGCTTCAAGTTTTTCTAAAAAAATGTTCGTTCTTTGGTATTCTCGGCATCTTGTAGAACCACATTTCTGTTGCTTCAAGTCTCTTCTTCATCTGAGAGAAGATTGTTCAGTATTCACTGCCATATAGGAGGACTTATATTGAATATCAATGCAATAGTCTTTTTGTTTTTAAATTTTCTTCTCCTTTGTTCGTGTCATGTTTTATTAATATCTCTATTCTTCCTCACTCGTTTTCTAGCTTGCTCTCTCCTTCTTTTTCTCTCTCTTCTGCGCTACTTCTCTCAGACAAACTCTCTCTTTTTTCTATCTCGCACTCTTTCTCTATCACTCTGTTTTTACACTCACAGAAATCAGACTTACGGCCATATCACGTTAAAATATCGCTTTTCGTTTGATCACCGAAGTTAAGCAATGTCGAGCCTGGTCAGTAGAGAGATGGATCACCGTTTGGGAATACGAGATGCTATACGCTTCCGTGTGTGGGTGATGTAATTGATAATGGCACAGAATTGGAAACCAGAAAGCCAAGAGTGAGAGAGCAGCGTGCTAACAAAGTGGCGCTGGGGTATGAAGCCTAATATTCGCATCATGATACAGTCCGATAATTATATGATATTATTATTATTATTGTTGTTTTATTTCCTTTGATTTCTGGTGTGTACTCATTTCTTTCCGGGTCCCGACTGAGACCTAAGTTCAGAAATGGCATCAAGTAATTTTCCACTGAGCAATTTGGAAAAAAATCACACACCTTTTACATAGGTAAAGTACTTCGTAAAGTATGGGCTGTACTCGTGAGAACAATTTGTTGTATTTCTTTAAGGCATGGGCTACCAAACATCCTTTCACTGAGTTTATTGAAATATTTTCCAATCAATCCGAGGGTTCCAAGTACAACTGGAATTGTTGATGTTCTCATGTGCCATATCTTTGAGATTTCGATTTCAAGGTCTCTGTATTTTGATATTTTTTTGAAGATCTTCAAAGATACATTGCAGTCTGCAGGGACTGCCATATCAATAAAGAGGTACATTTTGTCTTTGCGGTCTCTAATCATGATGTTTGAGCGAATAGCTTTCATTGTTCTGTCTGTGTGTATTGTGAAGCCCCATATAATTGTTACAATTTCTATCTCCATAAGCGGGTCTGGGTAGTGTTCATACCAATTTCTTGCATAAAAGTTGCAGATTTTCCAGTGCAGATACTGGTACACTGTATTATGCCGGGTTTTGTACTCAGTGGATGCCAATAACGCGCAACCTGATAGAAGATAGTTGTTTCTAGATATTTGTCACGGAATCTACATTTTGGGCTAACACAATTTTTCAGTATCTGTACTTGATAATTTCTAGTTAGCAAGCATCGGTCCTATGCAGCAAGAATAAAACCTTCGGTTTCAGCTTTTAACCTTGCCCTTTTCAGCCATTGATGAGTACGGCGTTTGTCTATATCAGCTTGTTTGTACCGGCAGAGGGAAGCTGTTTATATTGTCATCGTTTCTGTATCTGGTCTGTTGCCTTTCACTTTGCTTTCCTTTTTAAATATTTTGCAACTTCAGTCGGTGTATTATGCTTTCCATGTATTTCTCCACTTATTTGAAACTCCATTTTTAACGTGTTGGATTCCTTTATTACTGAATAAAGTCGCTTACTACTTTCATGTTCTTTGACACATATCATCATCCTTTTTTTTTTTTTTTAGTTTGCAGGTATCTTTAAAGGCCAATTTTTGTAGTCGTGTAAGACAGTTCTAGTTGAACTAATCCTCTGCCTTCTTCAGATCTGGGCACATACAGACGATCAACATCAGCTTTGAGATGATGCATGCGGTGGCAAGTGAGAATCTTTCTCGTTTGGGCGTCTATTCGCTTAATGTCAGCTATGGTTCAGTTAAGGATGTTGAAACTGTATTGCACCACAGGGACAACCAAGGTGTTTATGGCTGATATTCTGTTTCTTGCATTCAGCTCTGTATTCAGTGCCAGATGCACACACCTGTAGTTATCCTTTCTTACCTTTCCCTTCATTTGGCTTTTCTTAGGTACCTATAGGCTTTTTCTTGTTCCATTTCACTAATCTTTGTGACAAAATCTAAATCTATTTAGTGTGTTTCTGTAATTCTCCCTTTCTTGAATGTTACTTTTGCACATTTATCTAATCCGAAATTCATACCTATGTCGTCACTGAAACATTTTACAATATTGAGGAGTTCCTTCAACTCATAGTCGTCTTTGACAAAGAGTTTGGGATCATCCATACAGAATAGGTTATTGTGTACTTTTTTGTTTAATTTATAACTATAGCTATCATAGTTAGGTCATGCGTAAGGACAGACAAAACAAGAGTGACAGGGAGTTCCTTGAAAGATTCCTCGTCGGATATTCAGGCGGTTGGAGATAGAAGTGTCTCTGGTGGGATTTAGGTATTATTATTATTCTTTAACACTAGCAGCATGATTCGGCGTTGCCCGTGCTTGATTTAAAAGTCGCACGACTCATACAGCAATCGCTATCACTTGACTTAAAATATTTTTGCCATTCCTTGCCTTTAAAGGAGTGCCCTTTGCCGTGCTTATGTTGCTACATGCCTTACTTCTCGCCTAACTCACACTGCGAATTTTTTCGAAGCTCTATCTGTTACGAAAAAAGAACTAAACAAAATGAACACAAAACGATCAGCTTTAAAAAAGGACTCGTAACTGGAAAAACCGAATGAAAAAAGAATGTTAATAACAAATACTTTTTCGTACCCAACCCAGTTCTGCGGAATCAGAATCAACGTTGAGTTTAAACAAGCGAATGCGCCAATTGTAGTAAAGTGCCATGCAGATTTAAATTTTTCCCACTTGTGACGAATGCAGCTATCGATTTTTTTTGCATGCTAGCATGCTAGTTAACATTCATGTCAGTCAGCTGTTGGCTCTCACGCTGGCCAATAGAATCTTCCTGCCTATTCGTGGCAGCCAACTATAGGCTTCCACTCTGGCCAGTAGAAAATGGCCGCAAACTACATGAAAACTGACGTAGAAGCATGAAAAAATCGATTATTTACACTATTGATGGGAGTTGGGAAATGCAATGTCGGTCTTGGCCTTTCCGCTAACTTGGAGCATGTGCATGTAAATTTTGGTGCAAATCCGTCGAAAATTGCGGCCGTGTATTCGTTACACACACACACACACACACACACACACACACACACACACATCCTGCTTTTTATAGATAGAGATAATTCATTACCGGATCATTATCCGAGACCAAGGGTAAGGCAAATTAGTAAATATATGCATTCAGTTTGCACAAATTCTGATGCTACATATACATGGGGATTAAATGACAACAAGTCTCATTATTCCAACACCATTAGCGTTTTCAATAATGCTGTCATCTGGATGGTTTGAACAATTCTAATTTACAGTTCCTTCAGTTTTGTATTAGTCTTTTTCCGTACCGTTCCTTGTGTTCTTATAAGAAATGGTACGACTTTTGCCTCAATCCCCAATCTTCCTCAGTTCGCTGACGTGGTAGAAATACATATCTGTACTTTCACTGTCCTTCAAGCTGTTCAGCCGGAACAGCGATAATCCTTTTGTTGCAAGCTTTTCGTCTATCTGGTATTCTGTTTTGTGGTCAGTTTGCATTACTTTTACCTTCCATCAACATTACTAATACTAACCTCCAAGAAAATAACTCATTGCGAAATAAACTGGAACGGCTATATTTAGGTACCTCCACGAGATCGCTAAAAAAAGAGCATAGCATGATGAAAAAGACGCCAAACTTGACGAAAACAAAATCTAATCGTCTAAATGTTTATGTTGTTGTTAAGAGGAAAGATCAAAGTATTTTGGGGGTATTTCTTTACATTTTTTAATCGTTCCTAGCACGTCCGAAATTTTCGTTAAGTTTTTTCTTTTTTGAGTCAGTAAAATTGACAGATTGCAACCATTTTTTTCCATTTTATAAAAAAAATGAAAATCTCAGTTTGAAATTTTTTTAAAAATCAATTATCATTTTTCCAAAACTTATTTCAAGAAAATCAGAAATTATAATGTTTATTTAAAATATTTTGAACCAAGCTTAACTTAGCTTCTGCGCCGAAAAGATGTAATTTGAAAATAAAACAAAGCAGGTCATAAACTTTCGCGTCACTTGGCAGGTGATGAATGACATATTGACGGATTACGTGAGGATAATTTGTTCTACCGAAAGAGAAAAGTGAAATTATTTACATTTAAGTGATCTCGTGGAGGTACCTAGTTATATTGAATTAATTCCTAGATCTGCTGCTTGGAAACTTGGTTCATTGCATCATCCTAGAAACTCTTTCTCAACGAATTCTCTCTTGCATATTTACCTAGTCTACTATTCGTCTGTGCATTGATTATTGCAGACGTATCTATACTGGCGCTTCTGTAATATATCTACATATTCATGATATCCAAAGAAGAATCTGCAACGTTATCGGTCCTAACTAGGATTCAATCAATTTCCCACCACCGTAACATAGCATCCTTGTGTCTTTTTATTGTAGCATACCTTACGGGTGATAATGGGTATGTCCCCATTCACATAAATACAGTAGTAAATACTGTATGTTGATCTGCACTTGGAGATTTGTCTCCACCTGTTGTGGTCAAACTCTATGCCTCCGGGCAGAGAGGATCCCCAAACGTAGCAGTGTCGAAGGGCAGAGTCTTGTCTCGGGAAACAGCTACCTGACTCCGTCTTATACGGGGTCTACGGGAATGTTTTGGCCAAGCCTATGGGCTCGGATACCCCACATTAAATTCGGCCTGGTGACACATCTCATTGCGTGGGGGAGTTGGTAGTTATCCTGCAGCCGTAGATTCATTGTGGAATTCACTTGGCTCACTTCTAGCGATTGACTACTTCTTCTACACGCCGCTGCTGAATCTTATATGTGTTGTTCTTGCCCTAAGTATTATCGTTCCTTACCAACCTTCGTGTAGTTATTCTATTCAGTAAACTTCCTTAGAATAAAACACTTTTCTATCAATATTTTCATGATAATTATTCAGATGAGCTTTCCTCTTTGGTGTTTTGACTTCACAAATATAAACGCAGAACTGAATTACCAGCTAGGTCTGATAATTTCACTGTTTAAATTGCAAGATGTAACCATAAGGTATACTCCAATATTTTCTTCTCTTACACTTCTCACTAGTGGAACTATCTTCCGTTTTCTTTATTTCCCGTCAACTAAGATCTTTAAAAATGTAAATGCATGATCAATCGTCATATTTTGTGTCATTGAATCCTGTTTTGTTGTCCTCTCGCGGTATCGTCTTGCGTTCAGTAGATTTCATCGCCTTGCATGGGTTCATCGAGGTTTTGATGTGTTTCATTCTCTTGGACATATTCTGGTCTGCACGTTTACCATTGGTCTGCGTAGTTGAAGTGTAGTTTCCAAGTAGAATTACAATCATACCTATTCTTGTCTTCATATTAAGTCAAGTTATTATTATACAAATATAAGAATATGCGAAGCCAGTATATCCATTATGACACCTGGTGTCAGACACATGTATCACTTTCAAATATGATGATAGGTTTTGTTGAAAGCAGCACATACCCTCGCAGATAGGACTTAGTCAAAAACAACTATCTGGTCGAATAATGCAGTCCACTATGACCGTCTCCTCTTGCGTGTGTTCCCATGTATCTTGCCTAATTCTCTTGTCAAAACCTTCTCGGAATAATGATCCCCGATTACTTCTGCTCATGAACTAATAAGCACTGTGGCTCAGCCCCTAGAGCAGTGCTACTCAAAGTGTGGTAGGCGTACTGGTGCCAGTACGCGAACCATCAGCTGCCGGTACTCGGAGAGTTTCCAGAAAACAAATAAAAGGTAATCACATACCACACTATGAGAGACTGTCGGGATATCAGTGTCGTTATTTTTTTTAACATTTCCATTTTAGTTTTTAGAATAAAAGATGCAAATTTTATTATATTCATCATATTTTCTGGTATAACTGAATAATATTACGAATGTTCCAATAATATTTTCTCGGATCGTTATTATATAATGATAAGGCAGAAATATGGCACCGGTCCCTGGTACACTGGGAAAACTTGTTACGTCAATGATTACTGGCCTTAGAATGAATAAGACATCATGTTCTCATGTTAGTACAGTTAGTACTGAAATAGGACATGTCTAAAAGTAAATTGGTTTCACAATGATACGTGCCCCTCCACTCTATTAAATTTCAGTTTTCATAAAGTTCTTCTTGGCTTCGCTTCGCGAACGAAGATTTATGAAGTGCGATGTCCACGCCGACTGCAGGCACGCTGATTGTCGACAAGTCTGGCCGCAGTGACTGCAATTAAAGGTCTGGTCTGGTATAGCTGTTGAGGCTACCTGGTCCTTCCTCCTGCGGCCTTTCTCCTTCAGGTTGGCTCTGCGAGAGTTCTCAAAGATGGAGACAGCCTGGTGGACGGTGCGGCACCAGGCTTGACGGTTAGCAGCAAGTGTCGACCACTGGTGATGGCCAGTGTGGCAGGTACCGAAGGACTTCTTCATAAAGACTCTTTTCTAAAGTAGTATTCATATAAAATACATAATTATGTACAATAATGGATCATATGCAATATAGGGGAACAATTCAATTAGAAAAAAATGAAAATCAATATATTATATCTAAATAAAATTAGAGACTTAAATAAGTCAAGAATGTTTTGCAGCAATTTTTAACTCGAGATTCTTGATAAAAACTTGAATAATTTTAGCATATTCAACATTATGAATAAAAAATAGTGATTATTATATAGAGCTTTTCGAGCTTCACGGATTTGAACAAAAATAGTCAGTTTTGTTTAATAGTGAGTTTAGTTTAATTTGTAAAGCACTCCCCGGGGCCCCCAATCAAGCTTGACCAACCCCCTGCATGTTTGGAGTTAGTACGCACCTGCCCTGGGTGTAAGGCCAGGTGAATATGGCAGGTGGGGTATAAAAGACCAAACAAGTTCCCAGCATTTTCTTCCTGTGTTACTCTTGTAAGTGACCTTCCATTGTCATGGAGGAAAACAGCATTTATTTTCTACTGACGAGTACGAAGTAGTTGGAGAAATGGATGTGTTTTTAGTGTTTCATTGCATTTTTAGAACTCTAAAATGAATAATACCTCGATGATCCTCCAAACATTGCTTTTCTTACTCAGATTCTGTGTCGATTGTGGATATTTATACTTTTTCATTGAGCATTGCCGTATGAAACCCAGTTTTCGTTATGTGTTTCGATATATTTAAAGAAGATATTATTTGTCTATATTTCTGAGATGAGGTATTATGTACAGTATTTACATTAGTCGGACTATTGTCCTCATCTTTGTCGCCATATTTGTCACAACGTTATATTATTTCTCCGTTGCAAAAGAAGACTTGTTGCTAAGAATAAACGATTCACTTTGTTCTTTTCGCTAAGAGTGTGTTAAACCCACATAACAAGCTTGCAGTCTTTCCATAGCTTTTCTAAGTGTTGGCATATAATATACTGCGATATTAGAGGGTGGGACACGGGCAGCTGTTCTCGAGGGCTGGGCACCTGTAAGCATAATTTTCCTCAGTTGCGACTCTGTGCTTCGACGGAGCCGCCCCTGAGCGCAGTCTACGCAAAGACAGGGACGCAAATGAGAGATGATAAATTATGTGTTACAAAACTACTTCATAGTAATTTACACACTAAAAAGGATCAATATCTGTGTTATATATTATCTACTTCTAGGGGATATTATTTTTCAGGTTTCACCAATTTGCATATTGATTTTAAAAAAGTATATTTCATTACTTAATTGTCTGTCTATATTTCTGAGATGAGGTGTACATTATTTACATTATTCGGACATTATTCTCATCTTTGTCGTCATATTCATCACAACGTTTTGGCCGTTGTACGCGCCGGCCTTCTTCAGGTGGTTGGAATTTCGAACTGAACCCTTTATTTCGCTATTTATAATACCCAGAAATTCATACCCAGATGTCCTCAAGGACACATGGCGCAGTGGATAAAGGCGTTGGTTAGATCCAGTGACAGAACCCACAGAATGTGAGTTCAATACCCGGTTAAGGCAGTGGAGAACTTTCAGAGGGAAATTAGCAGGGGATAACTGATAACTGACATCCATCAAACATGGCACGTGGAACTAGAACAGTCTACCCCAGTGAGCGAAATAAAGGGTTCAGTTCAAAATTCCAACCACCTGAAGAAGGCCGGCCGAAACGTTGTGATAATTATGGCGACAAAGATGAGGATAATAGTCCGAATAATGTACTTAATTGTCCTTCATTACTCTTCGAGGATTGTTTTGATTTTCATATTTCAAAAATAGTTCTGTTAAGGAACATTGTCTTCATGTAGTGTGTTTGAAACTTGCATTTTACTTGGCCTTCAACAAGTTGGTATCGATTTGTAAAACTTTTCTTAACAAGCCTGCCTCCAGCCTCAATCAATTAATTTCTTCTGTCTTTACAGTCATATTCTTTAAACAAGTAATTTGAACGTCCACAGCCAACTTCAATATTTCATAAATAGTGAGCATTAATCCCATAGAAAAACAAATAATTTTTCCTAGAAAAATTACCAGGTTATTTTTCTAAGGTAAACATTTATCTAGTATCCATAATTATCTATCTATCTATCTATCTATCTATATTTGGTTGGATAGATGTGAGTTTGTGACCCTGGGTTTCACGCTTTAGCGATCGTCAGACAAAAAACCAGGATCACAAACTCACATCTATCCAACCAAATATGTTAGCTCTATCTCTGATATTGAGCGCTTTCTACTAAGTACCGCGCATATAATATATAAATAATTATACATATATATATTTATATACACTTTTCATATATATATATATATATATATATATAGCATCCATAATTATCTCTCTCTCTCTCTCTCTCTATATATATATATATATATATATATATATACATATAGCATCCATAATTATCCATCTATCTCGCTTTCTCTCCCTCTACCACTCTCTCTCTCTCTCTCTATATATATATATATAGCATCCATAATTGTCTATCTCGCTTTCTCTCTCTATATATATAGCATCCATAATTCTCTCTCTCTCTCTCTCTCTCTCTCTCTCTATATATATATATATATATATATATATATATATATATAGCATCCATAATTAGCTGTTTATTTTTACAGAAGTTAGTGCGGAATTTTACAAACTATATTCTACCAAAATGGAGTTTTCTGAGTAAGGAGAACAAGTAAAACACAGTAAACAATATTTTATACGCAAACGGACCGCTTCGAAAGAAAATATAGCGATTTTCTAAGCCCGGCTTAGATGCGACACAAGGCCGAAAGTATGGGGTAACAGTGAGGATCGAACTCACAACTCGTCGTAATTGATCTAGCAAGACAAGCTTCCTCACCATTACACCACGTCGAGGTGTCCCCCGGATGTAAATATAAAAATTCTTTCTTTTTATCTAATTTATTATTAAAAAGTCTTAACACAAATAACCTTTTGACTAATACTTTGCATACACTGCTTAAAATATCTTCTGTTAAATGATTCTCCTCTTTTAATTTTAATTAGAAATCCATTCACAATTACCAGTTAAATGTCTCTGATATATATATATATTTCTTCTTGATATTAATTTCCACAGGACTTACTTCAAACGAAAACTTTTTTTTTTTTTTTGGCGTGTGTTTTCTATTATTATATCTGTGAAAATACTTTGAAAGAACCGTAATTCAAATGACAACTTTTGGTTTAAAAAAATGTCCGCCAAAGTTTTCGCAAATCTCTGTCGTAAAAAGAGAACATGAATTTATTTATTTTTTTCTTTTTGAAAAAATACCTGTAGGTTTTTCGGTAGCAAATGTAACTAAAATAAAATATTAAAAGGTTTTAAATAATTACTGCAATATTTTACGATATCAAATTAATGTTTACTTTTTTAATTAGCTTCTCTCAATTTTGGACATATTAAAATTTTTAGACCTTTGTAAACGAAAATTATAAACAAATTTATTTTTACTTTATATATAGATTTCGTATTCTGAATGCTTCTTTCTTTGACTTATTCTTCATAATGTCAAGGGTCCAAGATCATTTCAAAATTTGAAAACAACCAACGGATATATCCATGCCTGTCTGTATGTCTTAAGAGACATACACACAGGCATGCATTCAACTTGGCCTTACAGAAAGTGATGAGAATTGGGACCAAACTTTACAAGGGGCAATTTCGCATCAATCACCAAAGCAAATAAGGGATCTCTTTGCTGTTATAATTGCTACCTGTCAAATTTCAAATCCAATGGATCTGTGCGTGAAACACCGAGAAGCTATGAGTAAAGACATTCTTTATCATATGCAACTGGTTCATCCAGGACTAACCGTACAAATGAACCTGAGGATTGTGAACATTGCACTGTGTGAAATAGAAGATAAGGTGCTAAATGCGACACGAAAAGAACTCTCCCATTTCTGATTTCCCAAACCAAACAGAGATTCTGATGTCTTAAATAGAGAAATCATGAGAAAGACTGGATACAACCGTGATCTCTAAAATACCGACCAATACATCTCTTCTTAAAAAGTGACCAGAGAGACATCTACAATGAGATTAAGTTAAGGATCAACAATTCTGCTGAAGGAATTTTCTTTTTGGATGCTCCTATTCAATGATACAACTGACGAAGCAATTAACTTCCTTATTGAATTTTTGAATTCTTTGGATCTTCCAGGAATGCCATCGCACAATAGGTATTAAAACAAGGAGTACCATTAATGCTGCTAAGAAATCTTGATCCTCCAAAGATATGTAATGGTACACGTTTTATTGTGAAGAAAATGTTACCTCACTTATTGGAAGCTCTTATTATAAATGGCCAAGGGAAAGGAAAGACTGTATTGATTCCAAGAATTTCATTGATTCCAACAGACATACCTTTTGATTTTAAATGATTGCAATTCCCAGTCAGAGTAAGTTTTTTAATGACTATTAATAAATCACAAAGTCAATCAATGAAAGTTACTGGACTTCACCTTATGCAACCCTGCTTTTCCCGACGTCAATTATATGTTGCCTGTTCAAGAGTTGGAAATGGAAGGAATTTATTTATACTTGCTCCAAAAAATTAAAAAAAACAAAAACAAAAAATGTAGTTTATCCTGCTGCATTACAGTAATAATTATTTAAGAAAAAACTTTAAATTTTTTCACCATTATGTTTTTCATTCATGCAGATACATGTATTTTATTTCTGTTAAATGATATTCAGTTACACCATGTTTCATTTGTGTAAAAATGGCGAAAATTCTAATGTTTAGTGATTTGAATAAATACAAATGTTTTCTTTCATGTTTACAACCAATTTATGAATGAAATGTTCATTTAAAATTTTTGTTTCAAAGATTTCAAGTAGTGAATATATCTCACTCTACGAAGCGCTAGCAATCGGCCGAAGCCTGCTAGTTATCAATAAAACAATATTGGAAGAGTATTTTTATGTACCAAAACAACAACAATAATAATAATAATAATAATAATAATAATAAAAATAATAATAATAGCAGCAATGTTTCTTTAAAGGAAACGGCTTGGAAAAGAATGACGGTAGCAGCAGGAATTGTGATAGAATATAAAGCGATCTGGAAGTAAAATATTAATAATGATTTTATTTGTACAACAAAAAAGAAATTACAACAAACAAACAAAAAAAAAAGCAAATGACATACCTTAAAGAGAAACGAAAGAGTCATATGGAAGCAATAATAATATCATATTTCGTGCGTAATGAAAATGGAGTAGGTCGTAATGTAAAGGTTAGAAACGTTTGTGAATGAATTGATGAGAGAGAGAGAGAGAGAGAGAGAGAGAGAGAGGGGAGGGAGATGGCGGGGAGAGAAAGAGAGAGAGAGAAAGAGAGGGAGAGAGAGAGAATAATGATTTAAAAGAAAAGTTTATTTAGTCTTTCATAAACTTCGCTGCCGGACACGTGCGTACAACACACCCTCTGCTCAGATTGACCGCAATGATGGTGGTCGCACCAAGGGACGTCTTAAATATCGGCAGTTGCTTCAGGGTAATATTGTAGTGTCATTATTTGGACTTAGCCGTCGGTTGACTCTTTATTCAGTATTCATCGGGGTGGAGAAAGTTCCTTCCTTCCTTCTGTCGTGCTATTGCCGTGTCATGTGGCCCGATTTCGAGTTTCTTTCAGTCTTTCTTTTGTTGATTGATGTCATTTTACAGGAAACCTCAGCCACATAAATGATAAAAAATTTGGCGGTTAGAATGTGCAAAGTGATTTAAAAATGAGATGGCCAACAGATTTTCATTGTTAATTATATTTGACAATTATATTTGTATAAGTTAAAGGATGAAGAGAGAGCAAGACACGACAGATACTATTAATGTTTATTCACAAACATATATTGACATTAAGTAGTGAAAGAGAAAGGAGAGAGAGAGAGACGATTGGTATTTCACACACACACACACACACACATATATATATATATGTAACTTTAAAAGTAGTACTTAAAGGTTAAAATGCATTTTTTAAAATGAAAAATATTTCTTGATGCTAAGAATTTAATATTTAAATTAAATTTCAAGCTAAGAGATTAAATTTAATATTTCTAATGAGCAAAATACTTTGCTCTATTTCAAATCGAATATAATATATTTTCTGTTCATACCTTATTTTTATAGATATAATTTATTTATGTAAATGCTCTGTTTTTAATTAAACAGTATTAATTAAATTTATCGACCAGAATGTTCGAGAAATTTTTTGATTATATATTTTTTGTTTATTGTTAAATATTTGCTCTTTCCCTCTTGTTTGTTTGTTGTTTAGATGTTTTACATATATATATATGTATATGTAATTATTTTTATAAAAAATTATAACATAAGTATGTTATTCCCACCTATATCTATATGTATATGTATAACATAAGTATGTTATTCCCACCTATATATATATATATATATATATATATATATATATATATATATATATATATATATAGAGAGAGAGAGAGAGAGAGAGAAATAAAGAGAGAGAGTAAAGAAAAAACAACTATGTTAGTGTGACCAAAAGACAACTTATCAGAAGACCGCAAACCTTAGACAAGAAAAAGTACTGAACAAGGAAAGAAAAAAAAAAAAAAGATCAAAAGGTAAACACCTACTTACTCAATAAATTGCTCAACGCAAATATTACTTAGTACAAAAAACGCTTCGCAACATCAACACTAACAAAGGACGGCCCGATTTATTCGAGTTTCAGGCTCTCACGATCTTCAGACGGCTACAACGCTTGTCCTAATTTATCTACAAGCAATAATATCTATCTATCTATCTATCTATCTATCTATCTATCTATCTATCTATCTCCTAACCTGCTCATGTCTGAGACAGAGAGATACTGCTTCTGCATATCTATCTATCTATCTAAATGTAAAAGAACGAAAAGAATAAAATTCAAGCGTTCATATCATCAATTTAAAAAAGGGCTCAATACAAGAGTAAAGCAATAAATATTTATTAAAAACTGTTGAATTAGAACATGCAAGTTACTACTACAAAATTGCATATTTAAAACGTGTTTCATCAGATAGTTAACAATAACTACTTGATGAGACGAGTTTTTAATGTCGAAACAAAATATGCAATTTTGTAGTAGTAACTTGCATGTTCGAATGTAATAGTTTTTAATAAATATCTATCTATCTATCTATATTGTTGTTTATAGATAAACTAAACAAAGTTGAACATACAATAAAATTTACGTATGAAATAATTTACTTTTGCTTGGTATATCATGATTCACCATGTTAGCAGTGGCTTAAATCTTAGTATCTACCAAAAATCAACTAATAAAAATGATCACATAAATTTTTATTTGTATTCTATATATTATCTATATTATTTTATACGAACAAAATAAAATCCAGAATAATCATCGGATTCTATTCAGAATTTGTAGTCCTTAATATATACATTAAAAGGGGAAATATATTAAAAATAATTTCAAGCATTTCATATTCAATGTGAAACAAAAGGCTCATAAAATATTCTAAAATAGCGAGAAACTCAACGAATCAAAAAACTATATTGTTCTACCAACTAACTCTTATCACAACTACAATTGAAAAGAATTTATCTGAACTCATTATAAAATTTATCACAACTACGTCTGAAACAGTAGAAGACTTAATTAAAAAGACTTCATTAAATAACAAAACAATAAGCTAAAACATGAAGGAGGAATTTACCCTGTTACCTGTAATAATTGCTACAAGGGATACATAGGAGAAACCCCAAGGAATTTAAATAAAGGATTATATGAACTCAAAACAACATATTAAATGCGTTAGTTGCTCACTGTAATGAGATTGACCACAATTTTAATATGAAAAAATTATACTCTGATTAAAAGGGAAAACAATTTACTAAGACGAAAATGTTTACAAAGTTTTTTTAATCGGTAGATCATCAACAGTAAATTTGCGTCCAGGTTTTTCCAACGTTCCACCATTTTCGGTAGATTTTCGATTGGGATATTTAATAACAAAAGTGAGTGGAACGCAAACAAAAAGGAAAACGAAATTCGCTAGATTTTTTATACTCAGAACACACACACAAATATATATATATATATATATATATATATATATATATATATATATATATATGAAATCATCTTTAAATTTAAAATTCCCAGCGTCGCTCCTTCATGTGTAGTCGCTCCTTCATGTGTAGTCGCTCCTTCATGTGTAGTCGCTCTAACGTATGGATAAACTTAGTCCGATGAAATCCTAAAAGGCCGAAACGTGTCACACGAAAAAACTTTTTTTCCACTTTGTCATGCATCTTCTAAATTGTTCTTGATATATAAAAATTTATATATCGTTATCCCATATATATATATATATATATATATATATATATATATATATATATATATATATATATATATATATTAATATATATATATATATTACCATTCTTTCGAGCATCTTTCAATGTAAACGGCCGAAAACGAAGATTTAATTATTCTTTTATTGAATTTTCCAGCCTTTTAATATTTTTCCGTTTTCAGGAATTAAATAATGTAGGAATTGTCTATAGTTATAATTGTCATATATATATATATAGTTATAATTGTCATATATATATATATATATAGTTATAATTGTCATATATATATATATATATATATATATATATATATATATATATATATATATATATATATATATATATAGTCTGTGGGTGTGTATATTTTTTTACACAAAACTTATGTGTGGTTAACTATGCGTGACTTTCTGCCTACATAAATAAATACACGCATGCATACATTCATCAATGGCTATATAGTGCGGTCTGGTGGGGGTCTGAAGACCACGCCCACTTTTTGGGGAAACAGAAAGATAAATTTGTTCTTTTGACCTCAGTCTATAAGGATGCTATTAATATGTGCCTTATTATTTTTCTAGTGACAATACCGACATTAAACTTCAAACTAAATCGTTAAACTTCAACATTTTATTTTAAACATTAGTTACTAAATATTTCTTATAATCCTCATTCCTGAAAATAAAGACAATCATAAGAAAAAAAAAGAAAATGCATTTAAAACTAAAACCAATAATTTTTTCAGTAGGATAATAGATCTAAAAATATCTATTTTATGAAACAGATAAAGCAAAGAATCAAGACTCTTTAAAATTTAACATTTAAGGCCGCCCCACCTTCAGCATTTCATTAAACCAATCCCACTTTTTATTTTGTGGCCCCATGTTTGAGAAGTGATTCCTTTTGTTTGACTTTCTTTTTAGCTGTGTAAAACCAAATTTGGCAACAGTCAGCCAGCAATTTTTAACAGAAAGATAAATTAAAAAGAAAAATATAATAAAATAAATATTGATACAAGCAAACTTAAATAAAAAAAAAATACCCATATGTCTTAACGTATATTTTATCTTTAAATTACCGTGAATTAATCTGAAGATATGTGTTATAGCGTATCTAGATGCTTTTGTTTCCATTAGCTTTAAATATATTCATAAGAAATGTTTCAATCGACTTTTGTATGCTCGCTAACAGCAATTCATATGTGTACATCAGCGCCAGCATGTTCCATCGGAGATCTTTGTGTCGGTCTAGTCGACATGATATTTTGCCTAAAGCGCCGTTTAAGTACAAAAAGCTGACGATTCGACCACAATAAGCAGAAGGACAATTGAAAATACAATAAAGGGAACGGCAGAGAGATGACCTTTTACAATTATTATAAAGCTGTGACCACAGTAACCATTATGGTGTCTTGACTCATCCCTTAAAAATCCTGTTTTTAATTTATCACTTCGAAGCCCAGACTTAGATTAACTGGAAGGAATTAAAACTGCATTTCCATATTTACTGCAATCTCTCTTATGGGATGCTTATTTTATGTGACGCGTTCCTTGTAGACGTAGGCGATCACGGATCTCCACAGCATTCTAAGCAATGCTTGTTGCCTTCTTATCACTATCAGTTTCTGTTCTGCTATCCTTTTACATAAGCTCGCCAAGTAGGTCACTCGCTGTTCTTTCTATTCTTCTTGCCTTCAATATGCCCTGTGTGTGTCAAATTTTCAAAACCCTCTTTTCTCATAGTGTGTCTTAGACATTTCAACATTTTTTCTGATCTTAAGTACAATGTCTTCCTATTCTATTTTTCTTAAAACTTTCACATTGCTCACATAATATGTCCATGGTATTCTCAGCATCCTCCTGTAAAACAACATCTCTGTTGCCTCAAGTCACCTCGTCATCTGTGAGAAAATTGTCCAACCTTAATTGTCTTCTAGTAGGTTTGATATTACATAGAAATTCAGTTCTCTTTTCTTTGTTTCTAATGGAATTTTCGTCTTTCTTAATTTGTTTAGCTTTGAGAAGGCAACTTTCGCTATCCCAATGTACCTTCGGATGTCTATGTCCAGTTTTCTGTCGTCTCTGATAAGTGCTAGATTAAATTTCAGTACTTGATTAGCTCACATCTTGGGGTGCCCCTCTTTCTAACGACCATACACTTTTTTTTTTTATAACCGAGGGTCAGTCCTCGTTTTCTTTTATACCTTTCCTAGGGATTCTTGAAGTTCTCCATCTTTGTGTTATCTGCTTTCCAATATTGTGCCCCCACTAATAATAAGTAGATAGCGTCAGGGCTGGCGCGTAGATATATATCAGTGGTGATCCCGGAGGTCGGGTTTGTCGGGCTCAGCCCGAGTGAGTCAATATTCAAGTACATCTATTTCAAAGCAACAAGAATCTTTCGTAGTGCGTTGTTTTCGTTCTTGATTTCCGCTGGATCCAAAATTAATTGCTTTAACTATGTCCCTCAAAATATTGACCGAAATACATTTCCTTGATATTGTTCATAATAAATAAGAAAAAGAAAATAGAACAAAGAAAATAAGTAAAAAAAATGAAATAAAATTGACGTAGCTAGTCGGGCTGCGTAGGTCTCAGCCCTATCAAGCTGCAGACATAATCTTTTAAAAAATCTCTAATGACTTGTAAGCACTCTTTTTCAAAGATCACATTCGTATTTCAACTTATTGTTTTTAATTGTCCATTTTAAATAATCCATTTCATACAGTATAAGGTTTTTAGCAGAATGTATCAATTGAAAAAGGGGAAACTAAAGTTAGTCGTCGAAAATCAAAGAAAGTGGCACCCTTAACTCATCTACTGGAGGGTTGAGTGAGGAGTGTGACTGAGGTAGTGTTGAAGAAATATGATATGAGTCAGCAGTACTGATCATAAAGGTACAATAGATTAAACTAAAAGTTCACAGACAGATAGATGCAGAAACAAACTAACGCATACACATATATACAAACACACACTCGAGATAGATACACACGTTATTAAAAACAAACATGCTCCTGCATTCCACTTCTGCTTTCATTTCTTTACCAAAAAAA